TCTTGAAAATTCTTCTTGAAAGAAAAAAAGAAACTTGCATATGTATCCGCGTGATAAGAAGATTAAGTAGTTTTCGAAATAAACGTCATTTTTCTGCTCTTATCGATGTCAGTTAAGTCAGTTAAGTCAGTTAAGTCGGTTAAGTCATCAGCACCTTGCTGCAAATTTACATTTTCTACCACTGACACTTTTGTACAAAGAATTAAATCGAATGACATTTTGTAATGAATTTTCGAAGTTTCGTTTGTGCATATATATATTTACGATTTAATCGTAATATATATGTTCCGACACATAAGTCTTATGGTGAATCTAACTGTAGTTGAATTCTTACTTATAAAAAAGCATACACTACATTTTGTTATCACATGTTCTTGGAATGTATCGTAATTATCAGGTTAGACTGATTAAAGCTAATTCTAATGAAAAAATACGATTTTACTATCATCGTCGATCTTCATATTCAATCCGAAGATAATAAATCAACAATGAATTAAATAAAGATTCTTAAATAAAAAATTAACTAGTTATTTATCTTTTATTTATATTTAATATCATTATTATAAAATATCATAATAATAAAATATTTAAATATATTTTGTATAAATGTTTAAAACTTAAAGATGCTCGAAGATGATATATAATGAATAAATAATAAAATATGATCTAAGTCATAAATATTATAAAAATTATTTAAACAACATTTTATTTTTATTGGCAAAAAGATTTTCTATTCATTCATTTATGCAGTAACAGAGAAATTCTTACAGGCTTGCTCACCAATACGTTGCTGAAGAGATACTCTTCAAGATCAGTCGGAATCGAGGCGTACATTGGCCATCTCAGTCTCTAGCTTAGGTAATCTGACTACTCGCACGACTTGTATACTAAGCGACAAACGGCATTTGGAAAAAAGGAACAGCGAAAAGCAGACAAATAAAGAAATCCAAGAGAAGGAAGAGAAGCAAGATAAGGAAATCCAGGAGAAAGAAGAGAAACAAGACATTGAGAAAGATGATTAAAATAAGTATATTTATTACGATTTACATCTATTTATATAATTTGTGTATTTGAATTATATATGATTTGGGATTAATACGTTTTAAAACGTTCTTGGTGGTCTGTTATTAAGTTTTTTATATTCAAATATATTTTTATTATGACAATATTATACGTATTAATCCCAAATCATATATAATTCAAATAAACTTTAATCTTAAATATTTGAGTTGATTTTAATCTTATATATTTGATAAATCATATATAATTCAAATAAACTTTAATCTTATATATTTGAGTAAATAAATTATGGCAAATTTTTTTAGAAATTTTAGTTTTCTCATAAAAATCATAATGTGAAGGATTTCTGATGTACGAGAGTACGCTTACAGATCGGAAGAGCA